TTATAAACTTCAACTGAACTCACAATTCGTTAATCTAAACAAAAGTCATACGGCGGGGAAACAGAATGCAAAGACAAATTCGCTTTCATAACACATTACTTCTCTGGCAAAAAGACGGGAAAAAGACTAAAACGATAGAAACTACTAAGTTACATATAATACTGTCAATCATGAACAAAAGCTTGCGTTATCAAACAATACGTATATAAGCGCACCAAACTCTCATCCCAAAAAGACATTAAAAACGTTACAAAGGTGCTCTAAACTCAAAAAAACGTCAGAAGTATTCCAGAAACAACACATAAACAAAAACAACTCTTAAAACGTCGGTATCTCTGTACTCGACAAATCTCAAAACTCTGAAAAACTCATTGGGGCATTACTTTCCCCATCATAATCCGTACTCATAAACTCATAAAAACTCCATAAAACTTCACAAAACTCCAAATCACTGTGTTGCAAATACTTGTCCACTGAAACGCGCTTAAATCGTTATAAAGGACCTCGAACGTCACTAAATATCATTTCAAAACAAAAATCTGGGCGCTTACATACATACAATTCAACATCACTAAAAAAAGGTAAGAAAAAAGATAGAAAAAGCAAACAATACATTACATTACTGAGCAATAGGGTTAGGAATGTGGAAAAGAGTTCAACGTCCTGAGTTACACAGTGTCAGTTACAGTGTCCAACGAGCGGTTCTCTAAGCAAATAGCTAAAGTCAAAGTCTATAAGCGTCTCTTCCCTTGTCGCGTTATTCCGGGATGTTCTTTGTCATCTTCTTGTCTTTAATGTCGCTCAATTCTTAATTATACAGTCCTATCCAGTACTGGTCCTTCCGAAGGGGTTCTGAAATCTTCATCTCTTCAGCGTCGTTCATCGGTGCCATACTGTTAACGGTGTTAGTCGTCAAGCGCGGTTTCGTCTCTGCCATCGAGCCAGTTAGTTCGGTTCACAAGAAAGACACATCTTCGCCATTCACTTCTCTTCACAGGATGTCAATGTGTGTTAAACACCTGCCCGGGTTCTCCACCACGTATCAGGGGGAAATCTTCTTTCTCTCGGGGGTCTCCACACTTGTCAGGGGGAAAACTCGTCTCGTCTCTCTATCTCGTCCCCTTGAGGTACGGGATCGGGAAAGTCACTTTAACTTTACAGTCAAATAAGGCACACACAACGAAATACGTTTCAGCTCTCGTCTTAGTCGATCTTTCGAGCACTCTATAAGACACAGCGCCCTGGGGAAAAAATCCCCAAGACTCTCGCAAGGCTGACCCAAGACTCGCCCAAGACTGGACTGCGTCAAGGCTCGCCCCTGGACTCTCTCGGACTCCGTCTGGACTCGACTGCCCAAGGCTGCGTCTGTCGTGGAGTATTCGCCAAGACCAACTCAAACTCTCTTTATCCATTTTCAAAACTCTAACCAATTACAAAGCAGTAAAAAGACTCTAGGGCGTAAACTTCAATCATTAAGCCAATCACACTAAGTACTGAATACGTCATATCTTTTGATTAATCGTTCACTACATTAATAACTACGGATGTCAGAATAGCGACGGTATCTTGTAATTAGTTCCAAACCACTGAGCCAAGTTCCGTCCAAAACTTCAAATAGACCTAAACGATGACAGACATAACACAGCAATTCAGCTAATAATCAGCTAATTAAGTCGGTCAACAGATACGCAAAAACAAATTCATGACATTTCTACCGAGATTGGGGTACTCAGCAATCGTAGATCAGCTTTGTGCTTTGGTAGGCTAGAGCATGGCTAGAGGTACGTACAGGAATCGTTGCCGGGCGGTAAGGATATACACATTGAAGAGAATACGAATAGTTCAGTATGCAACGCTTAGTAGATTTGTTCTTAAAGCGGAGGAGCCGTCACCTGCGCATGCACCAGAGAGTCATAATGTGTCATTGTTTACAAACAAGCGTCTACCTATGACCCTTTGCGTTTCAGCGTATGTTGTTATCGTCGATAGGAACTCAATTTCTGCGCGTGCGCAAGTGACGACCCCCCGCTTTAATGTACAGCAGATCCGATCCACGACTGACATAAAAGTGTTTGTTAGTCCACAGGGTGATGAGAGTTCAGGTAATAGTGTGAATCAGTAGCGAACGAGAATTGTCCGACTTGCAAACTTGCGAACTTCTGAAGTCTCATCCCTCGTAAACATTAGCTTTTGTCATGGATCGGTCCTAATTCAAACTCATTGTTAGTTCAGTGGCTATTTCGATTGAACAGTCATCACAATTGTCCCTACTTAGAAGGTATCAGAATTCAATGAACATTGGGGGAAAGACAATCATATTGTTGTCAGTGGGGAAGGTACATACGTGACGTAGACGTTAAAGCGCAGCGGTCGTCGCGCAGCGCGTGTTCGAATTTCATGTAAATAAATAAATAAATGTATTTTACACGCGTTGTATACGTCGCTATGAGTCCCATATCGAACAGGACGCGGCACGACGAATGGTATAATGTCGTGTATTTGTAAGAATTATGCACAAATAAATATAACAAATACCCCAGATTTCCAGTTTACCAGTCCATAAAAAATCATCACCATATGTTTCAGTTGTCAGGGTCTGGTTTAAACCAGAAAAGAGAGAATATTAATTGTGAAAATAATAAACCAGAAGCTCAAATTATGAAAAAAAATGGTTCCAAGTGAATTATCAACATTATCGACTTAAACAGTTGATATATTATTGTCAGTATAAGATAGAACAATATAACTCACCGGTCTTATATATAGGATTCCATCACGTACGTAACTATTGGAACGATTATTGGTGTAATACTGGAACTCCCAATTCTAAAAAAAGAGTATATTTTATTTTCATCCAATACATCCCCACACACCCATAAATCATGTAATAAAAAAATCGAGTTTCGATTCTCAGAATTTATACAAGAATGAGATTAGATAGAACATGTCTAATAGTGGCATACCAGTGATATTTTATCTGGGTTCGCCGTCGTGAATATTCGATAATTCAAGATTCAGCTTATTCAGAAAAAAATATTTTACAACAACAACAACAACAATTATTATTATATTGAACTTTTGTATTTTGTAAGGTTCATTAAAATAAAGTGGCATGCAATTGCGTCAGTAACTGTGATTCGGAGTTTGTTATTCGATACGTTCTTGCCTTATTAAAATATCTACGAAGTTGGATGGTTTGAATAATACATATGATTACTTACACCACCGCCCCCAGCGGTGATTTCATGCTGCCAAGCTGACATATCAAGTTTATCGAAATTGTCCTCGAATATCAACTCTGTGGACAACAAAGAGAAACAATATATATCTTAGTCAGCAAAGAAGATAAATTCTAATGCAAACAAGAAAAATAATATCAACTCAGTGGAATAAAAAAAAACGGAGGACAAAAACGAGAAACAACATAACTTAGCGGACAATAATGAAACACAATATCAACTCTATGAACAAAAAAGGAAACAATAATTAGTACAATTGTATTTACTCATTTTACTTGATCTGATGAGAAAGAATACACGCATTTCTTCTGATAGTCACATTTAAATAAAGTCGAAAGCTTTATTGCCGAATGTAAGTAAATATTTTAGTTGAAATATATAAATATAAAAGTACAGCCGACGTATTGTGGATGCTAATGTGAACAGTCATTCAGATTCATTCTGTTGAAGAAACCAGGTATTACAAGTTAATGATTTACATGTTTTAGCAAATGGAATTATGGCATCACAATAAAAATTCACAAAGAAACTAATAAAATAGTCTCGAAATTGTCGGCATATCAGAATGTCTTTGATTTCCTGTTTCTCACCTTGTCACTAACTTCTGCAGATTATTCCAAGAAAATTAAATTTATATAAACAATTATCGTTATGCTTCTGAATATGGTAAATGCCATTACTATAAAAATAGTGCATATATTACTGGTACTAATTTTGTATTTGTATATATTATATCGTAACTATAACCTCGACGCTAACGAAGAATTTAAAATTACATGTACTCCAAATTCTAAAACTGACAATCAACATATTAGCATATTTCTACTGTAACACGTGTTATCGTTAATACTTCAAAATTATATCATTTTGTTCATGCACTTTTTAGTATCATGAACAATTTACTTAAATTCAAAATAAACTACATACTTAAAACTCTAATGAATGAATCACTCACCTTGACCCAATGAGCAGCCAACGAGAAGAGCGAAAATGACATAAACGTACGTCATGTTGGCCAGAAAAAAAAAACTTTCAAAATTTCAAAACTCTACGTTTATATTACAATGATATTAATTTATACCGGGTTTATCTTGAACGACGCCTATAACTTACCATGACTGTGGACGGGCTGTTCAAGTTCACGTAGTTATCAGATAAGGTGGTCCAGTGGGGGCATCGAAATATTAACTCAATGTATCTTAAAATCTTATGTAGGATATCAAGTCTGTGTCTTTTACCCGCCACACTTTCCCGGCAATGCAGTATTCATCGTGATTCTTCTTTAGCGATGTGATGCGATGTGATGCGTGATCGCACAATATGTACGTGTTCACCCGCTTACTGTTTTGCAATGTTGCATTTGTGCATAGCATAATAAAATGACGCTGACAGAATTCAAGGTTACTTTGAACTGTACTTGCTTTGTTAGTTTAGGTGATGCAGGATAAGTTATAAGTCTGGGAATCCAACATGTGTCGTGCGATAAACATCTATTTGCATGTATATGCGCGAAAGGGCAGTCACAGAATGAACTTCAAATAAAAATGATATATCTATAAACAAGCTGTCAATTATTTTGAGTTTATTATTTAGAACTTCACTAATGACATTGGGATTGTTGAAAGCAACGAACATTACAAATTTCGCTGAATATCATACTGAAACAAAGATAATCTTGAAAAAAATATTTTTAGAATCGTATCTATGGATACACGTATTTATAAAATCTATGCTGTAATTTGTTGTATTCCACTGCCTTTTGGCAAATATGTTTGAAGGCAAACACAAATAAACAAAGTCACGGTAACATGAACATGATTTTAATATAGCTTACAGTCACGTGTATTATTTTTCCAATTCGGTATAATAATTTTCTTGCTAGTAAACAATGAAAGAGAAATACGTCAACATGTTACCCTCTTCTAGGATATACTAATACTAGTATGGGTATAATGCTGTTACACCATTTATTATACCCAAAATGTATTTATAAAGTTAAAAATTTGACACAAATATAGAGAGAGCACTACCGTACCATATTAACATATTCAAATTATGGTTATGGTAAATTCATTCAAACAGTATCCAGAAACAGTATTTTTTTTCATAAAATAGCAATTTCATCGTCATTTATATATTTAGAACAATATATATTGTCATCTAATATTTCTTTCAAACTAATGATAACAAAATATGCTTTTTCACAATTTCACGTCGCCTGGCCGCGTAGCGTGAGTGACACTCTCTATCTACGTGAGGTTGGAACCGTCGGCGGAGGGCGCCACTCATGCCGTCAGGTCAGGCCACATATCAAATCTGCTTTCAGCAAATTGACATATTAACAGAACATCTGACGTCATAATTAGAAAAATCTTCTGGACGTCTGGAAACTTTCGCAAATGGAGTAGTTCTGGAAATAAATAAAATAAAAACAGTTTATACTTGTTAACTACCTTCAGAGAATCATTATTCGGAGCTAAGAAACATCATCGATGACGTAAGTGTTGAATGAAAGTGCGGCTACATGTATGACAATTCGTAATAATATCTTTTCAGAATAAACAAACAGGCACAGCAACGGTCGAGCAAATTACTACTTGGTACACCATTCACAATCGATCGATAACAGGTTTGCATGGCGCCCTCTAACGACATAGACTCGTATGGTAAACACGTTCTGGTAGCTGTCGACCGAAGGAGAACTACTTAATATTCGCACGATGACCACTTAACTATCAAGTTCATAGCCATGTATGTAGTGACCACTTTAACAATGATCAAACCATAAATAATTCAATGAACCGATCGCAAAGTTGCTCCTTAGGAACCTTCAGCCAAGTACAAAGCAAAATGACATTACATCACAGCATGTTGTCCATTTCACTTTAGAACCGCTTGAGATAACTCACGTGATCCATTAACCAATCACACGTTATTCACGTGCACAAATCATTAATACGAAATTGAACATAACCATTGGATCAATCTATTGTATGTAGTTATATTTTCACCTTTGACAAACCACAAGGAATTTATTTTGACCAATCACAAAGGAATGTGAACGTAGTTGACCAATCACAAAGGAGTGTAAACGTAATTGACCAATCATAATCAGCCATTCTTGGCAAAACCCTCGGTTTAATAGTTTAGACGAAAGAAAACAATGTGTTTTAAAATAGTCTGCATATGTCATATAGTCTGGTAGAAAGCTGACCCTTAGAATCAAACTCAGGCCACAGATCTAATTATGAAACAGAAAAAACTTATTCTGTATTTTTTTTAAGTTCAATTGAAAATTTCAGTGGAAAATATTCACTGAATTTAGGATTGTTGATGGAAAATATCATCCATATATCTGAATGTAAAATTACAGGATTTGGCTTCTTTGTACTGTTTGTTTTAAAATTATTTTGTAGAAATGTAACTTCATACAATCTGCCAGCAAGGGGACATAATTTATATATAATATAGAGAATCAGTGCATCAGAATCTTTAAATACAAACGTTGGTCGTTTGTTGATGCATAATCCGTGGCACATGCTGGCCATTTTTTTTCTATTGTATAATGAACTAATGAACTTGAGATTAGGGCAAAGTGTCAAATTCCAAATGTTGAAAACGGTACACAGGTTTTCAAAAAACACCAATATATTGTTGTTTTATTCATTACAACAAAACAAACATTTACACTTTTGAAATTAATACCATTCATGACTCGATTCATGGATTCATGGATACACCGCCATAGTTCACTGCTGCTAGCATAAACCCACTCTGACAATGTAGTGCTCGTTTATAGTTGAATATTTTAGGTGCGATTACTTGGAATGAGAACAAACTGTTTATTAAAATAAGGTGGCATTTTAAAAGTTATCTTTATATTATGTATATTATATATATATATATATAAGTATATTGCTGAAATTGAATCATCAACAGCGCTTTGAATCGGTTACAATTGGTACATATGTTTTAGTTGTGGCTGATTGCATTTCCTTGTCTGTGTCGTTTTATCTGTAAATAGTTATTATGTAGTCTCGTCACATTAACTTCACTGCACCGAGAACTATTGTTGTTTCTCTGCCTTATTTTGCAGTACTTTGTTCTTAGTTGCTCGTAATTTTGAGCTGTCAGCAAAGCTTAATTCAATGTGGGGGTTTCATCGTTAGTATGTAGAATCACGATTATTCCATAAAAATGTGAATAATACAATTGATAATATTGGTGGCAAGAATGGGTTTGTGCCTTGTTTTTAGGATCATGGTGAAATTGTCAAAGTGGACAGGCCTACGGGTAGTACATGTGGGCTTGTGACAGTATCAGGAGTTCATCGCCCGATGTAGCGAGTTATATCGATATCGATATTGAAATTCAAATCTGTCCTGTCGATATTATCACGCGCTATGGTCATTGCACCCAGTCATTCAAGTAATTGCCGTTATTCAATCTGAAATTAACCCTGGAATAAAAGCGGTACCACCACAAGAATTGATTTTCTCCGTGAATTTGCTTTGACGTTTGCGCATTGAGAAGTTTATCGTATTCATATTCAGATTTCACTGTACACGTCACTATTGTGAATTGTATAAACCCACAGCCCTCATAACTGAGGCATTGGGATGCACCAGTCATATGATAACATTGGGCATTACTAGTGTATCATTCTTCATTTAGATGTAGAACTTGTGCTGGATGGTAGCTGCTATGTGATACCGAGAGACCGTGCAATGCACACGAGTTGTCGATTTCTATGACGTTATTAAAACCGCTATGGACACTTGACGTATAGCTCTGTGAACATGAACGAAGGTTAATTTACATAAACAAAAATACCGATTTGTCATTTGCTTATATATAATTAATTAATTCACACCATACCACGTGACATTAAAATGTCCATTCTAATGCACATGTTCTCCCACAACGCGCATCGAAATCCGCAAAAACTCAGTGGTTAAGAGGCATTATTTTATAAGATTTGTCCAATATTGATAGTCTTCAAGTTGCTGACGTCATTCTCGGTGTTGAGGGTGGGGTGTAATTGAACAAAAATACTGAGACTATTGAGATGATTTAGTTCCGAATCAAAAATATAGGACCCACAGTAAAAACAACATTAATTTAATACAATAATTCATTAATTTCATTATTTTCGTATTTTGTAGCTGGGGAAGGGTGGATTTACCAATGTGAGATTTCTGTAAGCACTAGGAAACAATTTTCGTTCACAGACGCCTTTATCTATATAGACCTGGGAAAGGAAACACTTGCCAGTCGCATATATGATACTCACATTAGTGGTCAGTATAGTTTGTTCACCTTTCTCACATATCATGGAATGTGAAGTAACATACCACCAGCACGCCTTCGACACGCCGTCAGCACGCCGTCAGCACGCCGTCAGCACGCGTACGCCGTCAGCACGCCTATGATGTAATGTGGTAATGCCGCATACTCTTCAATAACGATTGTTTTACCTTTAAAGTGTACAAAGAACATATGTGGAAACACAAAATGAATGCATATAATACGCCTTATGTCCTTAAAATACACTCAAATCGAATGCGCCCATAGGCTACGTTTTGAAAAAATGCATAGTTTTTATGTTTTATTTCAAGTGTTACAATAATTGTATAACAAATATAATTCTCGTTATTTTCAAAAAAATTTTACAAGTGACGCCATGCTTGTATTTCAAATGACATACGACATACCACAATACATATTATACTTATCAATTGTTTCCAACCAAAACGTCTATGTGAATATTTCTGGACCACATTTTCTGATTCGTCTAGCTCGGGACGTTGAACTCGTTCATTTTAGTATCAGGCTTCGATCCATAATTACAATGATGGAAATACTACACACGGACATGTACCACAAACGTCATAATCTCAGGGTCGATACACTCGCACTATGCGTGATCACATAACGGTTCTGTGCATCTGTTTGCCACGATCAATACACTCATAGCGTGCATGATCTCATGAAGGTTCCGTGAACCTGC